AGAGTAGCTTATCAGAACATTCAGGTTTTACAGTTGATTCCTCCTTATTGAAGCCCAATTTGGAGCCACCCCTGTTCCACAAAAGATTACCAGCATCAGTTAGTCTCTCTGAACAGAAACAAGCACAACAACTAAATACTGAGGAAAAACTCTCAAAAAAGTCTGAAGACAGCAAACTCCATGTCCAGGACAACACAAGCTTAACAAGCTGTGAGGATCCCTCACATCTGGTTGAAGTTAAAACCCGCAAGAAATATTGGAAGAGAGTAAAGAATTTTTTCTCAAACATGAACTGGTTTGGCCTTTGTCTCCCATCAAAAAAGTAATATCAATGCTTCCTTATTTTATATATTTATTGGACTCAGAGTCTGAAAGAAAGTCAGTCTGTATGTAAAAAAATGTAAATGCTGAGTGAAGCGGTGGTTTAGCACTGCTGCCTTGCAATAAGAAGCTTCGGGGTCAATTCCCGACCTTGGGGCTTTCTGCATGGAGTTTGCATGTTCTCCCTGTGCATGCGTGGATTCTCTCCGGGTACTCCGGCTTCCTCTAAAAGTCCAAAAACATGACTGTTAGGTTAAATTAAGTTAAAAAATAACTTATCAAGTTAAGAAAAAAAGGTGGAAAATTAAAAAGTTAAAGGAGAAGTTCGGTTTTTTACACTTTAAGCCCATTTTCTGAAGTGTCCAGGATGAAATCGAATGATCGACACCAAAAGTTTGACAATTGCTCCTGTCTCTGCTTTTGGCTCATTTAGAATCACCCCCTGGCTGCTTTAGAATGGCTTGCATAGAGCATGTCCGATAATGTCCTTAAAACAACCTTAAACGTTCTTTTTTTAAAATATGCTACTCACCGGGTCGTCAGCGCTGTTCAATGACGTTCCAAAAAAAGTTTCGTGAAGAAAAAACGTTCCTGTAGTGTTTTATTTAGCATTTTGTAAATCCCATTGAGTTCTGTTGGAATAGTCAATATTCCGCTGCCACCGGAAACGGAAATGGGGCCTGTTTACACAGTTGTAGTCTTTTCGCTTCACTCTGTGTACTCCGACGTCGAGGTGCTAACGTCTCTGTTAAACACTTTAAAAAACTCTGAAAATGGAATACGAAAGGTGGATTCTTGATTCTCGACGTCGGAGTACACAGAGTGAAGCGAAAAGACTACAACTGTGTAAACAGGCCCCATTTCCGTTTCCGGTGGCAGCGGAATATTGACTATTCCAACAGAACTCAATGGGATTTACAAAATGCTAAATAAAACACTACAGGAACATTTTTTCTTCACGAAACTTTTTTTGGAACGTCATTGAACAGCGCTGACGACCCGGTGAGTAGCATATTTTAAAAAAAGAACGTTTAAGGTTGTTTTAAGGACATTATCGGACATGCTCTATGCAAGCCATTCTAAAGCAGCCAGGGGGTGATTCTAAATGAGCCAAAAGCAGAGACAGGAGCAATTGTCAAACTTTTGGTGTCGATCATTCGATTTCATCCTGGACACTACAGAAAATGGGCTTAAAGTGTAAAAAACCGAACTTCTCCTTTAAGTTAAAAAGGTAATAAGCCTATTTAAAAAATATTTTTAGATTTATTAATTAGTCAGTTAGATATAAAAAATATATTAAGATTAAAGAATACATATTACATCTGTTTTAACCCTTTATATGGCTGGTTTGATCACTTGCACACCCCTTACAAATGGAGTCCCCCCGTCCATCATTGAGGTCTAGAAGCACAAGATCTATATCCAGCCATTCAGCAAAGATGCTGCTACATGGCTGTACATCTTTTTTTGACATTTGACCAATTAGTTTAGTCCTTGAATGAGATATTACCTACTGTAAATTAAGTAAAAAAAAAAAGAAAAAAAAGGGTTTTAGGTTAAGATAAAAAGGTAAAAATGTAAATGCTCAGTGAAAATTTTATTAAAGTCGACTTAGATCATTTACATTGAATTTATTTAATTACTGTGAGTTTGCAGTACTCAAATTATCTTATATGATTAGTTTATAGTAACTTGTTTATTTTAAGTACTTAAATTATCTTAAATAACTGGATTATAACTGAATTATTTGGAGTTTATAGTTCTCAAATTATCTTAAATTGATTAGAGTAACTTGTTTATTTTGAAGGAGTACTCAGTTTAACTTTAATGAATTAGATTACAGCAGCTGTGACTTTTCAGAACTGAAGTGATAGCTTAATTCACTTTACTGTTGTTCACCCATAATATTCAGGTCAACCTTTTGTAATCTAACTTTGTGAACCACACTTAGCCATTGCACTCAAAGAGCAGGGGAAGGATTATTGTAAAAAGGAAACACATGGGGCTGATTTTGGTGTTAATGAAGCTAGTTTAGCTGGCTGAGGTCATAAAAATAAAGCATATTGCTTCTCAAAAAATAAGTGGAGTGAAACATTTACATCACAAAACCACTGTCCACAAAAAAGCCTGACCTCGCAATGGCTTAGCACGTTTTTCTCTCTCAGAATGGGCAGAGAGAGATGCTCTAAGTTGAAGTTGGATCCACAACTCTCTCACAACTACAGCTGTGGGTCCAACCTCAGCTTAGATCATCTCTATCCTTTCTCTGCCTGTTCCAACTCCATCTGAAGAAGTTCAGCTTGTTTAGTCAGGTTCAAAAAGGTATCCCAGGCTCTGTGCGACAAGTGTCTGGACCATGAAGAATTCCAACAGCACATGCAATTTCATTTTTAAAAAACACAATGGAGGAAAACACTTAATGGATTAACTCAGTTGTGTTCAAATTCATTTGAACATGCTTAACAATGCATTTAACATGAGACATTGGCTCTCGACATAATGAAGAGCATTTTGTTAATGCTCAATATAAAAGTGAACCAACAATAGTTTGGTTGCAAACCTACTTAACATTCTTTTATGCATTTTTATTCATCAAAATATAATCCAGGTGTGATTTGCCGCAACAGATGTAAACATGTGTAAACATGTAAATGTGTAATCATTTGGTTCAAGGGTGCAAGAAAGAAAACTACTTCTTAACCGAATACAACAGTTTTGAATCTCCACAGCATTTTCAAAAACTTAACATTAGCTAAAACAGTTGGAAGTTGTTACTAACCTGGGAACACATTCCAGTTTTATAAAAGAAAAGTATAAAAGAAATAACCTCTCAACAAAAATGGACAACATATTAAAAAAAAATTGTTCCTGAAATAATCATGAGAGAATATCATTATTGGGAACTAAACCCTTTCAGAAAATCTTTCTTAACTAACCATCTTTAGTGCTGTAACTGTTTTTTTGGGGGTGTCTACACCGGCGTAACAACCTGATACATGACAAATGCTCGTTAACAACAAACATTTCCTGTTCTTCCCCTCTTAAAATAAGAGTCCTTGATGTGATGAGTGAAATATAATCTTTTGTTAAGTTGCTCACACCAAATGGGTTTGGGTACATTTAAGTCCATTTTCTTTCATGCAGGTAATTCTGGGACATCCAGGACTATTTTGAAGAGGGGAATAGGTCTTTGCACTCTTAGCTAACCCATTACATAGATTACAGGCATGTCTTGAAGACATAAAAACCTGGATGGATCTTAACTTTCTGCTTCTGAATGCAGACAAAACAGAAGTTATAGTCTTTGGACCAGAGTCTCTGAAAAAGAAACTGATTAGCCAGTCACTTCATTTGGATGGGATTAAACTGATTTCAGATAATAAAGTAAAAAATCTTGGTGTTATTTTTGATCAGGACCTGTCATTTAAATCCCATATCAAAGAGGTTTCTAGAATTTCCTTCTTTCATCTGAGGAACATTGCAAAAATTAGAAATATCCTGTCCAGGGGTGATGCTGAGAAACTAGTCCATGCATTTGTTACTTCAAGGCTGGACTATTGTAATTCTTTACTATCAGGAAGTCCACAAACTGTAGTTAAAAGCCTTCAGCTGATCCAAAATGCTGCAGCCAGAGTTCTAATGAAAATAAAAAAGAGAGATCATATCTCTCCTATCCTGGCTTCTCTTCATTGGCTTCCTGTTAAATCAAGAATAGAATTTAAAATCCTCCTTCTCACATATAAAGCCTTAAATGGCCAAGCTCCATCTTATATCAGAGATCTGATTGTTCCTTATGTTCCTAACAGAGCACTTCGCTCTCAATCTGCAGGTTTACTAGTGGTTCCTAGAATTTCAGATCTTTTAGTTATCAGGCTCCTCTCCTGTGGAACCAACTACCAGTTTTAGTCCGTGAGGCAGACACCCTGTCTACTTTTAAGGCTAGGCTTAAAACTTTCATTTTTGATAAAGCTTATAGTTAGGGTGGCTCAGGTTATCCTGAGCTATCTCTATAGTTATGCTGCTATAGGCTTAGACTTTTGGAGGACATAGGGACCCCCATTTCATCATTCTGCTTCATTCTCTCTCTGTTCTCCTATTCTGCAGAATCTGTTAGTTCAATCTCTAACCTTCTGCTCTCTCTGCTTTTCCTCAGAGTAGCTTTGCCTCGTCTGTTCCTGTTTGGCTGTGACGTCATCCTGGAAAGAAACATCAGCTGTGCTGCTTCCATCAACACCCTTGTTTATAGATGTTGGAGATCGGCCTGTTTTCCAGTGTGGTCCTGTTTCTCTGATCGTGACTGAGTGGATGTGCTCTCTTCGTCCTCTGGCATGGGAGCTGGCTGTGTGTTTCCTGGACGGGGCCGCCTTTTACAGCTGCTTTTTGTATCTCTGCTTCTGTCTCCTTGAACCCCAGTCGGCCTCGGCAGATGGCCGCTCACACTGAGCCTGGTTCTTCTGGAGGTTTCTTCCTGTTAAAAGGGAGTTTTTCCTCTCCACTGTCGCTACAAGCATGCTTAGTGTGAGGGATTTTATTTGTCAATGCAATCAACTGGTTTTCCTTAGATAGAAAACTTTGTATCAATATGACTGTATGATCTGGTTGAACTGTAAAGTGCCTTGAGATGACATGTGTTGTGAATTTGGCGCTATATAAATAAACTGAATTGAATTGAATTATCAACTTGCCTACTCCAGTAGTTTGTTTTTCAAACTAAGCAGCTTTGGAGGGAGTGTTTTGCTTCCCAATCCAACCATGACTGCTTGAATAAATCTGAGTGTGTTCGCCATGCATTTTGGGTATTCTAAGTGAAGAGCATACATAAGCCCAAACATGAGGCACACTGCATGGGGAAAGTCTCTAACGTTGTCTATGATGATACTTCCCTCAAGTATGATGGCACTGGAGATGGGCTGGAGGTGCCCTGCATTTAGACACTGCTGCTGAGCATCTTCACTGACCACAGTCAGCACCCCAACTGTCTCTGAGGCGAGTGCTTCTTCTCCTGAGACCAAGAGAAAAAAAAAGTTTTTGAATCTCTTTTTTTTTTACACTACATGACTCTTTGGAGTGAAAAAAACATCACTACAATTGAAAATATCTCAAAGAGTATTTTTTAGAGTATGTCCTTTGGAGAGGACATCGGGACTCTCTTGTGGCAAATATTAACACATTTCGAGGCATACATTTACCTCTGAACTCTGACAATCTTTAGTGCTGTAAATTTCAAACGGCTACATCATTTAAGCCAGTGGTTCAGATTTCCAGGCACCTCATTCAACTTATCAAAAGCAAGCTGATTAGTGTAGTTTAATCAGGTGTGTTAGTTCTGTTTTGGTTTGTGGTAGTCCATAAAGCAGTTCTTCTTCTTTGAGATGCAGAGGTACATGTTGCATTTGATGCACTTTATGTAGGTTTTTCCAGTGCACCCTTCTCCTCTGCACCTGGAAGTATTAGGATTGTCCATCATGTGTGGCAAATGGACAGCTCCATACTTTCTCACTTCCTTATCTCACTTCCGCATCAGATTCAATTTGATTTGGTTGGCCTGACTGCCCCTGGGCAATCAGTTCCTCACCTAAGAGCAGTTTGAAGTCATGGTATTGGAGAGTTTTCTTCATAGGTCGTGCCAAAGCTTGGCGGTCTTCCTTATACTGTAACTAGGAGTTGGTGATGGTCAGATCGAAGAAGTGTAGGATTGTGCGTACGGTCCACTTCCTTGTGCGGTTAGCCATTCTATAAAAGCTAAGCATTCTATCACACATATCAACCCCACCCATGTTGGTGTTGTACTCTGCCACCACTGCAGGTCTGGACACTTGAACATGCCTTTTGTCTTTCAGTGACTATCTGGTCCGGGTATCCTGGGGCTCTATTACATGCACTGTAGATGCCATGAGTACAGGTTTATTGTCAACCCATTTTGTCACAGCCAGCTCAGGATGCTTCCTTGTCACAAAGGAGCCTCTTCCTTGTTTCAACAACTCTTTATCAGATGTAATGTTACAATCCTTTGGGAGTCTATTTTTCAGGTGAGGTGAAGTACCTAGACAGACAGACACAAACACATAAAAGTTAAATAAGTGTCATTTGTTTACAGAGAATCATCATCAACAGCACCACAGTTGACATTTTCATCATACCTGTCAAAGTACAGGTGAGTTCCCCTGGGAATGGACTCAGTCAACCGAAGAACTGCATTTGCTCCTATTCCAAGTCCTGAGTCTCTGCCGACAAAGGTCTTTTTTTTCCTTGGTACACTTCAAAATCCAATACAATTCCAGTTGGAGTAGTGAGAACAAACACCTTCAATCCGGTTGGATTTGGCTTGCCAGGAACGAACTGACGGACTGGACATCGACCAGTAAAGGGAATCATTTGTTCATCAATGGAAACATTTCCTGGCCTGGGTAGGTTTAGGCAGCCTTGTTGCACCTTCTTCAGAAGTGGACTGACTCTCCAAAGCATATTTAGCTTCCTCTCCTCTTCAGTTACATCAAGATCATTAGTGATTTTCAGAGAACATCTGATCTTGAAAAAGCGATCCCTTGTCATGGACTATTGGCAACTTTTGGCACTCTTGTTTTTTTGGCCCAATACATTTTGATTGTTGGGTAACCAAGGCATGCCATGTACACCGAGACTCCAAAGAAGGTCTTAATCTCCTTAGGTGTTGTATTCAGACTTGAGCCTGACACCTGAATCTGTCTCTGGTTTGTGCAAAAGGACATGTCCTCAAAAACTTTGTTGTCAATGTACTGCTCAAAGTATTTTGATGGTGGCCAGTCCACACAGACAACCTCTTCCAGTCTTCCAGCACAGGCAGGAATCTTAAGAGACAGACAAATATGTTAAATAATTATGTCCTCTAAAAGTGATAGTTCATCCAAAAAAAATACTCTTATCTGTCTAAGCTTATCTACTCTTGTCTCAGTAAACTACGTGTTAGTTTTTGTCCAAAGTGGGCGACGGGCCCTTGCATCCTCAACTTCACTCTCCTCTTCCTCACTTGATGCCTCATCCTCTGAACTCCCGACCTCAAAATCACCATCAATCTGTCCCCCTTGGTCCTCCTCATCTGACAAATCTATGTCCGAGTCTCCATCAGCAATCCTGTTTAGGATTTTCTGTGCCTCATTCAGTGAGCTGACTTCTATTAAAACAGGTTAAAAAATAAATAGCAAATCCTGATGCCCTCTATGGAGGACACACATAAACAGGTTATGTTTTATGCCAACAAATAATTAAACTGCTCTGAAAATTCACCTAACTATTCCTTAGATGTTCATTTACTAGAAGCAATCTGAATATTAAACTCACAAAGCTCATAATTAGAAAATAATATACTTACCTTTCTTCTTTCGACAAAATGTGCTCACAGGGATGGCAGCCATTTTGAAGAATCAGGAAGAAAATTCTAAAAAAGCCCCACCCCCACACATGTCATATCATTGGAGAGCCCAGGATGTCCTCTCTAAGGACCAACAGGATTTAACACAGTGGCATATATGGTTTCAGAGTTATGAACAAAAAACCTATGTCCTCCACAGAGGACAAAAATGTATTGCTGGGACTCAGGAGGATAAGCCCAAACATGAGGCACACTGCATGGGGAAAGTCTCTAACATTGTCCATTATGATACTTCCATCAAGTATGATGGCACTGGAGATGGGCTGGAGGTGCCCTGCATTTAGACACTGCTGCTGAGCATCTTCACTGACCACGGTCAGCACCCCAACTGTCAATGAGGCAAGTGCTTCTTCCTTTGCTGTATCCTGCAAAAGAAGCACGCACAACTACCTTTTAAATCTGGTCTTCTTTTTAGAGATTCTATAGACTGAAAGTGTGAGATTGGGATATTCACATCCTTCATCCAATTACATCATGTACTAATTTAGAGATTCTGATAGTTTTGAGTAAGATTAGAAGCCACCTGATTTTGATCAACTAAAAAATAACTATTTTAGAACATTTGACAACACTATTGAATGTACCAAACATGATTTTTCAACAACTTGAGATGAATATATTTTTTTTCTTCTTTTAATACTCTGTTACTTACAAAGCAAGTCTTGTAGACCTCACTGGAGTCATCACCAAGCAAAATAGGAAGGCCTCTGAGGACAACAGAGCGAAGTGCCGTCACATCTGACGACTAAAGATACAAAGAGAGAACAGATACAAGTTGAGAACATTGTGGCATTTTGAAGGGTGGATAGTATGTGTTGATAAACGGTTCTGTATTTTCTCCAATAGTGTAGCCTCATAACAGACACAGGGCTTTAAGTTTTCAGTGTCATTCGTCACATTTAAATACCCAATTCGTCACATTTAAATACCCAATTTTACACATCCCACTTTCCTTCTAAACATTTTTTGTTTTTATACAAACTCAACATTTCAATAAAATTTCACCCTCCTTTTTTCTTCCTGGGTCAAACTGACTGCATCTTCTTTCTTCCTTTCCTCCTGTCCCTTTATCCCTCCTTCCTTCCTTCCTTCCTCCCTCCCTCCCTCCTCCTCTTCCTTTATTTCCTTTCTTGCTTCATCCGTCCTTTCTCCCTTCTTTCCCTCCTCCCCTTCCTCCCTTCTTTCCTTTTCCCACTTCTTTTCTTTGTTCCTTCCTTCCTTTATCTTTCTTTTTTCCCTCCCTTCTTTAATTCCCTTCTCCCTTGATTCTGTCCACCATCCTTTTCACCTCTTCCCTCCCTTCTTTCCCTTGAACCCTCCTTTGTTGCTTGACCGAATCTGTTCACCTTTTCCATCCTTCTTTCCTTTATTTCTCCTTTCCTTCAACCCATCATCCTCTCTACCTTTCCTTTTTTACACCAGAGGACAACAGGTGGATTAAAATAAAAAGATTTAAATGTGCAGAGGCATTCTTTGTGAAGGCATGGCAGTGGGGATGTACGAGTGTGGAAGCCATGTTTTAAGTGCCTAAATATTAAGTGGCAAAAGATGAATCTTTTATAAAATAGCGAGATAAGGACACCAACCCTCTAAAATCCTGTGTTACATTGTCAAAAGAAATTAAATCTGTGTGGATCCTAAGCTGTAGTTCATAGGCGCTGCTCACGCTCTGTTGGCTGAAACTTATTTCCCTGTGCGGTTCGGAACTCTACGGAAGCTTATTGCATTCACCATAGAAAAAAAATCTGACAGCTTATCTCATAATTACGAGATATTATCTCGTAATTATGAGATAATATCTATATATTTGGTTACACTTACTTGAGCCTGTAATGTAGAATCTCTCACAAAACTGGTCTTCATGATCACTTATTAAGAATATTTGCATCTGTTCCACTGAACAGTTCTCTGTACCCATGTCTAACATGATATGCATTGGAGTTCCACCCCTGTTTTTCACTTCATCAATAAATCCATCTATAACCCTGGGATTACTACTTGTGGAGTAACTATGCACCGATATGACCATACGTGAAAATCTGTCAACAGCTCTATTACAGATTCCGTTTGGTTTTGGTTTTATATATGAATCGACATGCTGCATGAAGTTGGGACCTGGTCTTTTTAAACAATTCTGAAGCTGTCATGATCCCATTTCAATCTTGCATTGGAAAGAAAGGTATTTGTTCTAATTTTCTTATTTTGTCATCCTGTTCCTCTCAGTTTTTCACTTGATATGTTTGAATTTAAATTCCTTTTGATTTGACTGTTAGTTTAGCCTGTTGTTGTTGCAAGATATAATTTGATAAAACTTGCCCTCTTCATTTAACCAACACTAAATCTTCAAAAAATTCTAAAAAAAAGTTCTTACCCAGTTCACGTCCGTGTCACTTTCTATCTCTCCACAGAAGTGCCACATGTCTTTTAGGTCATCTGATGATAACATTATAAAAACATACACAAACACACATGATTATCCCAGTACAAACAATGTCCATAAATAAATGTTTTTTTTAGATTCCATGTTAATGTATTAAATTTGGGCTAAGTACAGATGTTTCAGTGAAACATACAGATTATTTCAGGCAGCTGAAATATATGGCTCCCCTCCTTTAATTTTTGCAAATAAAGGGTAAATATGTCCAAATGCACAGGATTTGTTGTTGATGAAGAGAAGAATAAGCACAGTTAAAGACTTGCAGGTACATTAATTTCTTCCCATGTTATGAAGGGGAACAGATTATTTCAGGCAGCTGAAACATCCATTCTCTCCTCTCCTCCTTCCATATGTTTTGAAAATAAAGAGCAACTGTTTCCAATATCTCTAAAATTGATATGTGTGATATGTTATACTAGAAATGTCCTTAAACCAGTAATCCGTCAAATTTTACATTAAAAAAGGGATTAACCAGAAATTCTACTCTCTCATCTTTGCAGGACATCTTAATTTGCGTGTCCTGCAATCAGCCAGTTTCCATCCTCTGATATCAGCAATGAAAAAGGTAAAATACACTACGTGTTGGAAATCTGTGTTTGGTGACTGACGTTTATTTAGTCAGGCTGAAGGGACAAAAGTTGGAGAAATACCGATTCTCTTGGCGTTAAACAAAATAACACAATACAGCGTAAGACCTCGTTAATGTATTTATTTTACAAATTTATAAAAAGAGCAACCAATTAAACTGAATGTTACATAGTTGACATGATTATATGAGCTGTTTTCACCGAGAAATGATCAGGAGCGCCTTGAAAATGGTCAGATCCGCCTCTCTAGCTGCAATGCGTGGTTCAGCCTCAGAGTTAGTACCCAGCCTTTCCGCTTGAATTCCTGAAATTATCATTTGTTTTGGGACTTGTAAAAGAGTTTCGAACGTTTTTATGTTTTTTTTTCTTAAAATGCTATTTGTTTTGAATTTTTAAAAGTGTTTTATTTATTTTTTATGTAAATTTGATTCCTGAAATGATCATTTGTTTTGGAACTTGTAAAAGTTTTTTAGATTTTGTAATGTTGGATGTTACACCTCCCGGCCACCGTAAAAAGGAAAAAGAAGCAAAAGTTCACAAACAAAACACTGAAAACTAAAATCCAAGAGACATCAGAGAAAAAAAAAACACACACGAGGAACGAAGAAATAATGAGGAACCAGCAAACAGTAACTGAAGAGGAGGAGTATAAATGAAAGACTGAATAATGACCAGGCTAATCAGCAGATTGGGAGCAGGTGTGGACAGAATAATCAAGAAAGGAGCTAGGAGACGGAGACTGACACTAGGGGGCAACAGAGGGTAAAAAAGAAATACATAGGAACTTAAATACAACAAAAAAACTACTAGAGTGTAATACAAAATGGAAATAAATCCAATGAAAACTTAAAAAAAAAAACTTAAACAGAACCAAAAGCATGACAAATATACATCAGTAATAGTAGAACAAAGAGTCCTAAAATGTAATTTATGCCAAAAAAATCAAGGCATTTGCCATTTTGTTGATCTGTTCTCAATGAATTGTAATGTTAAGGGTCAGACAGAAGGAGAAGCTAAGGGAAATACAGACCAAAAAAAAATACCTTCTGTGTTTTTTGTTGTTGTACTGTGTCAAACAGCAAGTGGCAGCTAAAGACCTTTATACTAGAGGGGTTTTCTGTTAAATTTGTCCACAAGAAGTAGAAAAGCAACATCTTAGTTTTTGTCAGCTATTGTTAGCTGAAAGTTTGCGCGGCGGATTTCACGGATCCTCTGTGGAAACAGAAACTCAGGTCAGTGACAAAGAATGGATGGCTGGAAGCAGTTAAGAGTTAAAGTCACCTACCTGGTTCAAAGTTCAGTCCGATCACAGAAGGAGAGGAGGAATCCGTGAAGGGGAAAGGTCCTCCGCCGCAGGCGGGAAAGGCCCCCGAAGCGCAGTGAGGAGAGCGGCGCTTAAGCCAAACGGCGCCGAGGAGCAGGTGTTGCCAGAAAGGGAGATCCAAGCCGAAGTCGAAACAGAACCAAGTTCGTTTGCCAGGAGATCTGAGAGCCGATGAGGTACGGATGAGGGAGTCCAAGCCGTGGTCAGGAAAACAGTCCAGGTTCGGTAAGCCAGTAGTATCCAATACACAGTCCAGAGCCGATCATACTAATTGAGCAGACAGGGGCGAAGCAAAACTCGGGATCCACAAGACAGAAACAGGTCACCTAACAGAATAAACAGAAAAGTAGTTTGAACCCTAGAGTTACTCTCACTAGAACAGCTAGAATAATCTGGCACTGGAAGCTTGAAACCAAACAGTATATATAGGGGCTGGAACCAGGTGGAAGGGATAAGAAATGATGATAGAACAGGCAGAGCTAAGCAGGTGGGTGGAATAAGCAATCAAGCCACCAGTGCCAGGACCATGACACTGAGTGAAATACTACTATCAGTCCACTGGATCTCTCCATAAAGCTCAGCATACCGTCTCACTAACCAGCAGTTTATGGACTGACCAACTTCATCTATCTCCACCCCACCACCTGTTTCAAGCCTGGGGGGAAACATCCTGTTCTTTACTGCTGTTCATGCATATCAAACAAGGGCTTATCAAAGGGCTTTGCCGAGGTCTGAGCACCAAAGACTTAAGTAATTGTATCAATAAATTCTTCTAATTGTCTTTTTTATTCCGTGCGAGTTTTTCAGATTGAACTATAGGTTGGAGTCGCAATATGTTGGGATAACGAGCTATTTGGCTTGTAGAGCTCTGTGCTCTACAAGTGTTTTTCTAGTTAAAAATTTTGCTTACCCATAACTAAAGCTTAGTTGACTTCTACTAGCTTTGTAGATAGTTTTAAATTAAACATTTTG